AGAGGAGATGGGAGCAGGACAAGGGAGAACGGCTCACTGAGAACGGCATACACAGCTCCAGCTGATCCTAAAGCTGCTTTCAGGTGCGGTTTGAGGCCACATAGTCACTGGAATGACTGGGATGTCCCATTCTGGGACTCTCTGCTGGACTGAGCTGCCTTTTCAGGCTTGAGCTAGTCTTGCACTAAGCATCTGCGGGGATTAATGAAGATCTGGGTCATACATGTCACTGGGTAGCCTGATGATTCTACACTGAATCAAGCATAATGCAACGGAGAGGCAAAAATCTCCTGCTATCACCCATATGACAGGAAGCCTCAGTGCAAATCATCAAAGGTAAACTTCACATTACAGCAAGTCTGTCCACAGCAAGCCCCAATAGCTCCTTAAATGCTGTAAGGGGTAGTGAAAACCACCTGAAAGCTCCAGCGCAGAGTCCTCCTAAGTCTAATGCCAGGAGCAGAAACCAAGGAAAGATAAATTATCTCTCACCTTCCCTCCTCTAGGCGCCCAGAAGCAGCCAGAGACACCTGAAGGCACCAAGAAAGCCCCATGATCCATCCAGGTCCCTCGTCTTGTTTTCAATGGGGCAGGAACTGAATTTCAGACACAGCTCTCACGGTGACCTCATGTACTCCCATGTCCTTCACCTCCCACCCTAGGCCTGGTCAGACAGGTGACTTTTTTTCCTCTTGAAATCTCCAAAATCAAAAATAATCCTCTGAGTCTGGTACGACTCGAGCACCTCTCTTTACTACAAAAGGGGCTTATTTCCAAAAAGCTGCTTCTCTTTCACTTGACAGTGAAAGAAGACTGATTGCTTTATTAATTTAGTTAATTAGACCAGACAGGCAAACATGATGCAAGAAAAGGCGAGGGTATCAGCCCCCTTTATGCAGCTTTAATTTGTTTGCTGCGTGCCTGGTGGAGGTCGTTGTCATTTATTACCTTCACACACCACTTGACAAATGCTCTCCTGCTCCCTGGAAGCTGCTCCTAGGGATGGCAGGCAACCACACTAAGTCCAGGCGAAGTCAAGAAGCCTCCTAGATCTTAATTATAAAGCCATAAAAGAAACCAACTGCTTTTGAAGCTTCTTACCAGGAAACAAATGAGAAGGGAGAATTTATTTCCACCCATAAATCCCAAACCCTTCAGTTTAATTTTTCCCGTGTTAACTTTCTCACCTAGCTAAGCAGCGCTGGCTTCTATTATTAGCTCCTGGCCCAGCATCAGCTGACCAGCATCAGTCAAACTGTCTTCATCTCAATGAGCTCAGGGACTCCCAGTGAACTCCGTGCACGCAGACTTGTGCTTGCAGCCTCTAATTATTTTCTAACAGATAATGGAGCATTTAAGTTCAGAGAGGATAGATTTAACTTGTAAGCGGATCAAAAGCCTGGATAAAAATTACAGCTTCTTGGATTACTCCTTGGAAACATCAAGCTTATGGGTAGAGAGGGACCTCAGCAATTGCTGTTTCCCCATGACAAGTTTCCTGAGGGTTTTTTTTTCTTTTTTTTTTAGATTCTGATGTTTCCCAACTGTGGCATGACTTGGGAATGTATTACACTGCAAGCAGAGCATTTGGTTGGAAGTCAAATCATCTGATCAGGCCAAAGGCTACTTGGACTTATCGAGCAATCCAAACACAGTTAAATAATTTGAGACGGATGGGAGAAAACTGTTTTTGCAACTCAAATTGCAAATCCCTGTTCTACTGTCACTTGTTTGCCTTGTCTTCTCGCAGCAGGAAGGCTGTTCTCTCTGTCAGAGCTTGGGAGCCTCCTATTTCCTTAGTGTTGCCAGCCCTCAGGCTCGATGGGACCTCTGTGGTGGTGAACACTAGGTAAGTGAGCAGGGAGCAGAGCAAAAGAGGAGCAGCTTGATGGGAATGTCTGGAAAAAGTGGGAAAACAGACTCTGCTGCAACACCCAGAAGAAAAATTCCATACAGGGAATGTCCTTTTTTGTGTCAGCCAATTCATCATCTCCTGATGGGAGGTGTCTGGCCAGGTGCTAACATCATGCACTGCATCATTAGAGTCATTAAAGCCCCATTAGCGGGTGCTCCGAGTGCTGAAGTGACAGCCCAGGAGCCAGCCTCTCATTCTTCACTCCTTTGGCCCAAGGTGGAGCAGCAGGTCAGCAGCTCGCAGAGCACCTTCCCGCTCGCATCCTGCAGGCAGCACCAGTTGGACCCGAGCCTGCAGGCCGGGCCACTGCCCTCGCCAGCAGCTCTTCCTGCAGGTAAGTTCTACTGCAAGCACAAGGACACAGACAGCTGAGCCAGAAGTGACTGCTGACCAGGGCACACCTGCACTGCACAAGCCGTTGAAAAACTGAAAGCCAAGGGTTTGAGCCACCATCAAGCCACCTCCTTCCCACCAAGCTCCTGTCCCCGTTGATAACCAGTATACAAGACACTCGGACAACACGTCTCTCATACAAGATTACACATTTTCACAGAATCACAGAATGTTCAGGGTTGGAAGGGACCTCTAGAGATCATCTACTCCAACCTTCCTGCTCAAGCAGGGGTTTTTCTAATAGTATCACATACTCTCAAGTTTTCGCACAGTTATACTGGCTGAAACCTCAGAGTGAGAAGGGGTGATACACGTTTTCCCACTACAACTTACTGCAGAGCAATGAAGACATTAAGCTACCTCGTCTCCTCCCGATAACTTCTCCGTTTAAAACTATGTCCTCTCTGCAAAAGGAAGGACTAACCACATTAAAATCATAAACAATATCTCAGTCCTCCTATTATATAAAAGGTATCTCCTTAAGCAGCTTATTTCAGAAAATAGATTACTTGGTTAAGAAGCGAGATAGCAGGAATTTCTACACAATCACACGAGCAATTACTCAAAAGGATGAAATTAAATCTGCCTCCTCATCAAGCCTACACAGAAAAGGATGTTATAGATTACTCTACATACATCAAATGCAGTGTTAACACAAAATACCTTGGCACTTTTCACTGTGACTTCTATCACAATGGCGAGGTTATTATTATTCCAAAACTCAATGTTATTTTTTGCTCACCTTCTGACCACTGCATCAGAAGCCCACGGAGGACTGTCAAAAATAGAACTTCTCCTAATGTAGCTGCACCTCAGTTATCATCTCTCCTTTCCAAAAACCTTCCTAATTCCTGAGCTGTTTATCAGACATTATGATGTATACCCCAGAGGCAAACGTTGTCCACTGAATTAAGGCAGGCAACTCTGCCTTTCAACGGAGACTATATGTTTTATCTGGACAGTGCTTCAAGGTTACTCAACACCAAGAAAGGAGATAACAGCATTATTTTTCTACTATATAAATACACAGGATCCAGTCCTGCTACGAGCTGAAATATTGCACTGACTCACTAAGTATGACTTAAATATTAAGTACAACCAATTTGCTTTGCTGGAGGCCAGAACGCAGAGCGCTGAACGCTGCCAGCAGCCTCGAGCACAGCTCCTGTTCAGGGGGCTTCCACTCCCTGCACACTTGCTTCAGAAAAACGTTGAAAACCAGATCTTTTCTTTCTGGAGATCAACCATTAGCAGCACTCTTGGTCATTATTTTGTCCATTAAGCAAACATCTCATCCTCCTTGTCCTTTTAGGGCAATTCATTCCTTTCGAGTGCAGCTGAAATGCTTTTCTCTTTTGTTATTTTTGTGCACAATGATTACTGATGTCATCAGCATGAATGTGTGGTGCTCTGTGCAGAGCACAGAATATACATTGATCTATACAGCCTTAGCTCGCCTGCTTGAAAATTCACATGCAATAATTTGTCTGAAGTATCTACAATAGTAATTGTACAGATCTACTCATTTCTACATGACAATGTAGACAATATAATGAGAATTAAATCCCCTTTTGGTTTATAGTCGTGTTAGTGCTAATCAAATTAAACTTACACACTGAACAGATCTTCAAGATGTAAAAGTACAGTGTAATTTTAAAGTCCACATGAGGAATCTAATAATTCAGGAGTTACAAAAACGTGCAAATTCCTGTGACTTGTCAAAAACTGCCACTGCACATGGCCTGCATGTTCAGCGTGTCAGTGAGGTCCAATCTGGACTCAGAAATCAACACTGAGCACATGGTCTCTGAGAACATAAAACATCTGAAAAATTAGCATCTTTGCTTCTTACTAACGATCTTCTAGATAAGGAAAATAAATGGGCTTTTAAAACCCACTGTATTTTCACAAATCTTTTCCTCCCTTCTATGCTTTGCTGTTGCAGACAGCTCCCAGGTTCCCAGTGCTTCATTCTGAAGAAGATTAAAGCAGGAGAGAGCTGAAGCTGAGCTGCTGAAAGCAGGGCTCTACGCCAGCGAAGACTCAACTCCATGGTGTGACGCTCCAACACAACAACTCTTACTCACTTCTCTGCCACAGGAAGATAAAGTATCTGCTACGTAGACAGAAGAGACTCTGCTTTCTGCTGTTGGCATGCCCACCCATAAGAAACCTCCAGGCATTTTAAGGCCCATGATATCAGCATGGTGAAAAACCCAGCCCCTCAGTAACACCGTACCCAATGTACTTACTGACAGTTCTGGAGAATAAATATCTACCAACAGTGAACTGCACTGGGCAGAGGACTGCACCATGGAGATATGTCTAACTGTATCGTTTCAGTGAAGCGGAACTCACCTATTCTCAGGCAAGGCTGCAATTTATTTTATTTTTAAACACTGCTGCAACAGAGAATGCTACGCATTCATGTCATGCATGGAGAGCTCATCAAGGACTGTGGGCAAGAGGGAGATGGCCCCTACGAAAAATATTTGAACAACTAAAATTTTTCTAGGGACATGGTATTGTAGAGCTGAACATCAGGACAATGCTGGTCCTGCTCACAATCTTTCCTCTATTATTTAAAAATAAGGAAACAAAAAAACAAGCAGAAACTTCTTTTTGCAATCTCTGTGTTCTACAATGAGGACCCCCCTCTAAGGCTAAGTGAAGCGGATCATGTCCTACTTACGTCCATAAATTCCACATTGGCTTTGGGACCAGTGGTCTCATTGAGGATCTTAATGGCCACAGGAATCTTTACAGTTTCTCCCTCAGGGACCCAAATACCCTAGAAAGACAAGGAAAAATGGCATTAAGACTAAAAAGACGACGACAATGACATCTTCATTCAGAGACTCCTTCTCATTGCATTTTGTTATGGACTGGGCAGTATTTTGTTATGGACTGTGGAACCTCTTAAGACAGAATACACAAGAGTTATAAAATAAAAACATCCATAAAACTAGTTTTATACAAGAGCAAGACACTTAGGCAACATGAAAGATTTATTATTGCACCTGTTTTGTCTTCCTAGTCACAATCACAGTTTTGCTAAGTACAGCAAAACACCTATTGCTTCCCACAATATGAAACAAAAGTCTGGATTTTCTGTACTGTTCTTACACTAAATCCACTTAATTCCAACTCTTGAGTATCAGCAACAGGTAGGTCATACTATAATGTAGACATATCACACCTTAAGAATAATCTATTTTGAGTAAAGCGCTTGAGGGCTATTTCTCTGACCAAATCTTTTCTAAGAATTTAAAGCCAAGATGCCTAAAAAATAAACCTCACTGTTAAAATTCACAAGCTATGCATCTCCTGGGCTGTCTTTCCACCCATCTTTTCTACTGCTGCTTTCTTGACAACTATATGCTACCTGTATCACCTTATTCTGTGCTTCGGACCTGATTATTTCAAAATGTATTCCCATGGCCCTGTATTGCTGTCCCCTAGTCTGCATTTCCTCCATTTTCCCCCAGTTTGAAGACCAACATGCATCAATGATCTGACCTATCTCCTTTCCTTCAGATGGTGTGGTGGCTCTTTGACCTGTTCCTGAAGAACTACCGCATGCCATGTGGATATGGATGTGGCGAGCAGGATTTCTTTAACCAATGAGGAATTTCTTGGGCAGGTTCTGCTCTTAGAACCTACTTGTAAATTAACAGATCTAACCACACCAAGGAGCAACATTTTTATGTCTGATTAAACCTGAAACCAAGACTTTAGCCTGAAGACGTGCTCCTGCCACATCTCGAATGCTACGAGATGCTCAGCTGCAGTGCAAAACTTCACTGTCCAAATATTAAATGAAGAATGAGCACTGCTGTGCACAGCAAAGATACATCCATACCTTGTACACTGTTCCAAAGGCTCCAGAGCCAAGAACCTTGACGCGTTTTAGCTCCGTTTCCTTCAAGATACGAAGCTGTGCTTGGTTGGGTGCTGTGCCGCTTGGGGTCAAGGGTTCCACGAGCTGTCAAGACAAATCCAACAGTGTTAAATATCTGAAAATGTGACAAGAAGATCCATTCCAACACTGGAATAAAACAATGAGATCTACTGATCTGTCAGGCTGGAGGAGATCTCTAGGAGACCTTTAAAGTACATCAGCAATGCCAAGAAATGAGGAAACCTTATGGAAAAAAAGTCCTCACTCAGTACGCACTAATTCCCAACAGGAATTGTGTGATGGAATTACAAACTAGAAATTGAACTGGTGTGTCACAATGACACACCCCAGGATTTTTGAAATGGAGCAGTAAAAAAATTTTCAGGACAGAAATACGGCATTTATTATGAGTGCAACAACTGCAATTTTTGCCTATTTCAGCGCCTTTCAAGTCAGTCATATTTCCTTTTAACACCCTTGACTTAATGGCTCATCCTGTTTTTATTCTGTTTTGGGGAAGGGACCGCTCTTTTGAACTTCTGCTACACCACCTCGGAGGACAACTTTAAGGACAGGATTTCTTAACAGCATGCCTGTAATTTATCTATTTACTGAAAAAAGGCACAATTAAACATCTGCCCAAGACAAAAAACATGTCTGAAGAACCTTGATGAACGAAGCACAGCACCACTCAGGTCTCAACACGGTGCCACCTCTGCCAGAAAACCAACGCTTCTTGAAAACCAAAATAAAACACTGGAAGAAAAACGCCTTTTTCTTTGCAGGATGAGAAAATAACTCAGTGTTTCTCCCAGTCTAACTGTTTGGAGGCCGCTTCGGGCTTTCCACGCTGCCTGTCTGCAAGGCTTGACATGCTGCAGTCTGAGCTCAATTACTGCTATGGCTCTGTTAGCATCGTGGATGCTTCCTTAGCTGACCCGGCTGCTTTTGTTCAGTATCACTAGCTGGAAATTAGCAGAGGAAGAGAAAAAATTAACAAAAATAACCAGCAACAAGTCAGGGAATCACAGAAATAACTTGTGAGGTGTAATACTGTCCTCTCTCTTCCTTTGCAATTAGATGCCCAGTGTTTAGGTGGTAAAAGAAGGTTTGCTGCAAGAGAAAAAGAGTTAGAGAGACAGTATTTCCAGCATTTCCAATATTATTTCCAGTATTTCCCTATTTCTAGTCTGCAGAGGATGAAATGGCTTCTCTGCCACAGTCGGCCAACAGAGCTGTGGCAGGGAGGGGAAGTGCTGGGGATAACCTAATGCTTGTGGAGTTTTATTGAGAAGGAGCCACGGAAAGAGCAGGTCTGCCGTAGCCTTCAGCCAGAAATAAAGTCTTTAGCTGGAGCCGCAGCAGTCTGTTTGTTTAGCTGAGGATGCTACTGACTCAATTCTCAGTTTCTAAGCCCAGATAACAGCTTTCCCACACGTTCGGCAGGAGACTCTCCTCCCCGAGGAGCTGCTGTCAGCCACAGCTTGTGTCTGACCAAAAGCAGAATGAGACTTGGGACTTTCAAGCCAGTATCTTCCAAACGCAATGAAAAATCCGTGCATAAATCACTTCAGTTTAAGTAGGGGCTCATACCATGGCAAGATTTATGCATCTAAAAGCACTGGGTATTTCTCATATTTTCTAAATAACTGAACAGTATTTAACAAGCAACACAAAATCCGGTCAAACACAAAGCTACCTAAGGAAACAGACAGGGGATTCATAAATCATTTGCTCCCAGGCTACGCAGTGGAGATAAATGGGAGCAGGACCCTTATGATAAAACAGAACAGAAAACAGCATAAATAATAAAGCTCTATCAGAGACTCACTGGCTAACAGTATTCCTGAGTTTTACTTAAGTAGAGGGATCCTAGTTCCATAGTATCATCACTGCTAAAGTACCTCTGATCTGTAGGGCTTAGGAGATCTAGTAATCACCTTTGCAACAGCTGAAAGATAAGATTTGACACAGGTTTTAACATTTTTTTTTCCAGAGTGCACTCTCCATTCCTGACAAATCCAAGGGCTGCATGGAGTGGCACAGAACCGTGCCCTACAGCTCCATTACCTACTTTCTGCCAGTACAGCTGTGGAGCTCGTCCTGCAATCCCCTGCCAAGTCCTCCTTGTTTTATTAAACACATTTAATTTATCAAACAACTCGACGAAGTATGCACCATAGAGGTGATACAGGCACTGGAGCCAACAGCCCTTGATGAGCTCTTGAAGAGTCGTTGCACAGACTCCACTGGTAACTACACTGGTCCTGAATAGCCTTGATACAAAACCAGACGAGCTCTGTGGATGTCCCCAAACGAGCAGCTACCCCTGGAGCAGGGACGAGTCCTCACCTCGGTCTCCAGGAACCTTCGCAAGGCCCTCTTCTTTTTAATGCTCTTGCGCCGAACGTACACAGCAAACGTCAGGCCCAGGATGACGATGATGAAGAGGCCACCAATAACTCCTGCCGCAATCAGAGGAGTTCTAGCAATCAGAATTAGAGACTTTATTGGGAAGCAGGGAAAGAGACCAAGGAATAGCTGGGTATATAAAACACAATTCCTAGGAAAGCTTGTGAACTGTCTTACAAACAGAGTTTCTAAGTCAGTCCAAATAGGAAGTCAGGGGAAACACAGTAAGATGCAATATTGCTATTTTATTTTTTTAAAGCAGTGTATCAGTTTTACTGTTTTTCAAACCACCATGCACATGGGAGGAGTTGTGTGGACAAGGTGACACAACATGCACTTTGATGGCAAACGCAAACCTGCAATGGCAAAATGAGCACAGAGGCACCTGCAAACACTTTAACTAGGTTTACTCCTCCTTGAGCTCCAAGTGAATTAACTCACAAGCTTGTGCACTTAGGGGAGGGAAAAAAAAAAAAAGCAGACGCACCACAACAAACACTGGAACAAAGGAGGTCATTCCTACTAGGAAGCAGCCTCTCAGCACTCTTGGTTTATTAGCACTAGGAATAAATATTTGGGTCAGCAGTTAACGGCTGCACCTCTCTGGCTTTGCTGTTGCTTTTGAGGAGAGCCAAAGCCCAAAGCGAAAGGCCGCCGTGCTGGCTGGAGCCAGCAAGCTCCGGTGCAGAACGCCAAGCCTGGCTCCGCTTCCGCACAGCACTGTCCCTCTGCTGTGTCCGTAATTCCCGCAGCTTTCCAGCTCTCCAGCAGCACCACCTGCGGTTATTAACTGGCTTTTCCAGACCGCCAAGGCGCAGCAGGCTGGAGTTAGGCAGGTCCCACACGGGCACCAGAAGGACAGCGGTTGCAGAGCTTCACCCGGCCTCACTCAGCGCCCACGTCTGCAGGTCCTCATACACGAGTGGAGAGAACCAGGCTCCTGCCCAAGGAGAAGCCAAAGCACGAGGGGCAAGTGTCTGTACTTGACTACTCTGGCATTTGGAGGGCAGAAGTCATCTCAAAGGACCTGACACATCCACCCCAAACTATGGCCCTCTTCATTTGACGTGGGCTTTCCAAGATGCTGACATGAGAAACTCTTTCGTGGGCAACCCTGAAGAGACCTGGGCATCAAAAGCTTTAGGAAACTAGTTCTGACCAACGCTCTTCAACAGAGGGATCTATTTTCTTTACATTGCCTGAAAAATCATATTTCTAACATGAAACTACAGACTGACAGAACAGGAAAGAGACCTCCAGGCTTTGAAATGCTTATTAATAACCATCATAACAGCTGTCAAAATAAATAATTACAGTTTTATGGTACCATGTACACTGAAAACATTTACATGATAGACCATTAGGAGTAAACGGTTCCAAAGGAGACATAATGGCTAGTCAAGGAAATAAAATGAAGTTCTAAACTGCTTGCATCCCTTTATTGTTAAAAGTATAAAGGTTCAAATGAATGTTTATGATCCACCATGCCAACTCCAACCAACTTTAAAAAGAAATTCTAATTGTTCTTAGTCATTTGAAAGAAAACGATTCAAAAAACCTTAAAAATAACCAAACAAGAACCTTTTACTCTAGTCATTAACGTCAAACATTTTTTAAAGAGTTGAAATTCACCTACTTGCTCGAGCCCCTCTGATCTTTAAAAGGCCCGTAAAGGAGGTTAATTACTTTGAAGTGCAACCCTTAGCTAGTCAAATATTTGTAAGTAACTCAGCATTTCAGTGGTCTGTGTATTCTACCCAAAACTCCAGGATCTGCATATAAACAGATCATTAAGCTACAGAATGAAGCATAGGAAGAATACAGAATGCCCAAACCACCCCCATAATTAAGCCCTGAACAAGCAACTAAAATGCAGAAAAAGCTCTATTTTGAACACAATTAGTGAGCTGCAACCTTCACCCCCCGCTCCGCCACCCTCACATAACAAACCCACGACTATTACTGACCTAAGTCAGTGCTACTAAGCCAAGCCCAAGCCTGACCGTGGAGCAAACGCCAAATCTGGGGCTTCTCTGCTTGCTGGTGCCATCGATGCCCGTCAGGAGCAGGGCTGAGCGTGGCTTCCAGCCACACGTCGAGTTATTTTCCAAGCACTTAGGCTTTGTCTGTGCCACTTACCTGCCTGGGGTTTTTACTTACAGTCATTAGCCGCAGCTTGTTTTCTAAATACTCCACTAACCTCTTCAAGTCTCCTGTACTATATTTCATTACAATCTTCATGTTTGCAATAATTCATATTTAATACCTCTGTGAATTCCATTAACAGGATGTTTACCTTTCTTTTATATTATTATTAAGGTGGTTTAACAGAGATCCCTGCAAGGTGGCGGTGATCAGAGAGGCACCTGAAGACAAAATCTCCCATTTTGCTGTGGTGTTTTAATCCAATCTTTTCTGCCTGTGCACCGAGGGTTCAGCACAGCTGGACACACAAACCCCTTATCTCCAATGGCATTAAAGGCTTAATCCATTTACATTATTGTTGCATTATTGTCACACAGCAATTGCTGTTTGTGAATGCAGCTCGCTGTATTTGCCCATCTCGGGCTACCTCACTGCCAACCTAAAAGTAATCCCACGAAAACTGACAATGTTGATGCCCACACAAAAACTTCCCCAACAAAGAGGAGACTTTAAAATAAATAAATAAATAAAAGCAACGAGACCCTATTTCTCTGTTAAGCCTTGGGAAGGCTCTGGCAAAGCAAAGAGCTGCATGTCAGTCCTGACCATCCAGTGTAAATATGTGCAGAGTTGATCCTAGCTCACATTCCTCCTAGCTGCACCAGGAATCCACCCTTGGGAAGCTGCTCATACAGGTACTACCATCATTTACACACTGGAAAGCCACCTCGGAGAAGGAAAAATAAAATTGATGGTGTTTCTGGGCTTTCATGCTGCTGTAAAGTAGCTGTCCACGAAACGTGGCCCTGAATCGTAATTCCACCCCCATATAATTACTTGGCCATTGCCCACTCCTCCCGCTGCCGAGGAAGACCAACAATTAATGTCTGAAGAAGGTGGCAGTGAAGAGGGAGAGGGAAGGAAAAAAATCACAGAATCACCACATGTGAAACCTCCTGCCTTCTAAACTGAAAACTGCGTGCATATGTGGCTGAAAGTTGAGATTCCAGTAACCCCGTAGGAGAAATGAAGAATATATACGTCTTTCCTAAACATGCACAGTGTTCTTATATTTAGAAGCATCTAATCCTTATCCCCACATATCAAAACTGGGACAAAAAGCTCAAAGTTAGTACGCCAAGGCAGCCAAGGATGCTTCAGAGGGGGCTTGTATCATCATCCCATCCTCTCCAAAACATCAAAACACCTGCAACTCCCTCATTGCTCCGAGCACTGAGTATTAAAGCCTAATTACTGACTTCCATAAGTGCACGGCATTATGACTAAGAACTACAGATCATGGCAGAAGGGCAGAGCAAAAGGAGAGGACACAAGTTTTGGGCCACGGAGACAACTATGCTACAAGGCAGAACACCTGCTTTTCTCTCCCTGGTGTTAACCCACAGTGTGACATGCAAGTAAACTCAGCTCTGAGGCCAAGCTGCTAAAGAGCCCACTTAAGCCTTCTTGCTCCCACTCCCAGTTAAGGTTTATCCATATATCCAAGTGGGATATAGTGATATTTCAGCTTTAATATTTGTTATCCGTGCCTTCTTGTAAGGTTTCTTTAACAAAGCATCAGTTTTTCCTGATGGGCAATTCCCACTTTCCGCAATCCTCATTCCTTCCCTCAGCAGGGAGTTCAGCTGCACTATCAGAGATCTAGCAGACTCGGCTAATCCTAGAATGCTAATCTTGGTATTAAAACATAGAAGATGAACAACTTTGGTGAGAAGGAAATGCAAGTTTGTTTTGAGGAGCTTCTCCCTGCTGTGTAGCCATCCCCAGCAGGCTCCTAGAGCCGGCTCTGCCAGCACATTGGGGTGCTCACGCAGCTGGGTCCCAAGTTTCTGCTTCGTTTTGGGCTTGTTCTTCCTTTTGCAGAACAAGGCTCCCTTCTCCCCCTGATCCGAGGGTGTTTGAAGACTCACACACAATCAGATTAGGATCCTTCCTCCTCCTGCGAGTGATGCTGGCTGATGCCCTGGTGACCACCAGCTTCTCCTTTAGTCCAGAGATGGATAAACCATTCTCAGCCTTGCTGCAACGAGCTGGAGTTAACCCTGGCAGCAGGGAGTTTGAGTTTCTCAGTTTCAACTCCTGGTAAATATATTTGACTAGGAATAAACAACAGCACCTTTCTGACTGCAGTATCCATACAGGGTCTTTTTCACGGGCTTCTTTCCCCATAAACATTTTGCATCCCTGATGTTTTTAGGCTGAGATTTTTCTCCTCTGCCACACAAGGGGGGTTGCTCTTAAGAACTTGCTCAATGACTTTGCTTTGAGACTTGTGCTTTAAGTAAAAGGATTAATGTTGCCTTTAAAATATGCCTAGTCAGGCCCCACATAGCGTAGATTGATTTATCTGTGACAGAAAGCTGGTTCAAACTCACTAGACTGGACTCCAAGGTGAAGCCAGTCCATCAAGAAGACGACAACCCTCTTTATGCACTTGCCCTATTTCCCATTTAGGTTGGGAGGAGCAACGTTTTGCTCACAGACAGGGTGCTGGAACCGCAGTGACGACGGGTGCTGGTGGCTCCCCTGAAACCAGAGCCACCACGCGGGCCCAGGAGGCTGCTCCCTGCATAAAGTGCTCATGTTAGAGGCAATAAATGTGGCCAGTGGTACCCAGGCACCCTGTCCCCTGCCTATGTCCCTGTATGGGAAATTAGGAATGGGAAAATGCACTTTCCTTAAGAAGTGGTAGGCCCCCACACGCCGACATGGGGGTTTGTGCGGCGGCTCTTCATTAACTGGCAATATGGAGAGCAGCTCAAGGCAACGTATTTGACACAAAAGCTGCTAGGTGGCTCGGGGAGCTGGAGCAATGGCATGCAGGGTCAGGATTAAATCAGAAAGTAACCACAGCTTCAGGAGCTGGGGCACACAGATCATGCAGTTCCTGCTGTACAATCGGCCACT